GTAAGACAGCTAGATGAAAATTTTAACGAAGTAAACTTTGTTAATCTTTCCATGAGCTCTCTAGGTATTTTTGCGCAAGAATGTTCTATATTCTTAGAAATGTTAGGAAATGTTGGTCTCGACAAAAACTACCCACTAACGTACTGTGTTAGGAAAATGATGACTATTGCCATTCGAAGTACTTATTACATTTTCTGCTGTCGAAATAAGGAATGGGAAAGTCCGGACTTGTTAACTATTTGAAATATTTGATTGTCTTGTATATTTATATATTTCCATGTATTCAGTTTTGTCATTATTATTAGTTCATAGTTGTGATTCAAATAGCCAATTGTAAGTTTCCTTAATCAGTGAGATTGACAATTATATATATATATAGTATATAACAAAATTATTAAACAAAGTTTCCATTATTATTATTATTAGTATCTATACGTTACATGCTATTTTAAAATTGTAATCTGTATGCAAAAAATTCAGTGCTTACAACTGCATTCAAACAACTGTGTGCGCTATATTTTACAATAGCTATAGAAATTAAAGACATCATGCAGACAAATAATTATCATATGGCCAACACGGCAAAAGGATCAGAATCCAATAAGAATCACCAATTTTGCGTAGGATGAGTCACGATAATGATATTGATGAGGCTTTACGTTCGCTTATGTGCTTCCTTGCAGCTCAACTACTTCAAGCGTACCGTACCGAAACGTATCAAAAACGTTTTTAAAGTTCGTGAGTGTTGATTGGTTAGTATTTCCGTAGTACGCCAAAAAGTTGACTTGCGACGAATTTTTTATTTTGATACGCGAATACACCCGGAACAACCTCTTTTCAATCTGGACATGCTCACCAGTACGTTTTGGTACGATACGGGCGAAGTGGAAAACCAGCTTTAGAAGAAGATTTGATACGTGAGCATGATCGTATATTTTCATCAACAAGGACGCTAACCAATCTGTAATTGTCAGACATTCTAATGTTAGCAATTATAGTGCGCTGTTTTATTTCGGTAGCTAGCAATGATCACGACAACGGACATTAAATGCCTCTAATTTCCAAACTTGGATAATTCACCCCCATGCTATTGACGAGGATTTTTCTTGACTTTACATGATACGTCTAATGCCTGACATCAACAACTATTAATTTGTATTACTTTACATCCACATTTCACCGTACTTCTTACTTGTTTTCATATTATATATCTTGTGTTATGTTTTTATCACCTAACTTCATTACAATATTCCGCCATGCATGTGATTTTTCGTTTTTCTGGTAATACTCTCTTTCGACTAAATCTATCCGATCGGTATTGTCCGTGTAATTAAATGATATTAAGGACATGGATACTATAAACAAATACATCCACCATTCCTCGACTTGTTTTAAACGCATTTTTATTTCTATTTTAACCTTAGTTTAAACGGTTAAAAACGTTGTCGAGATTTGTCGAGACTAACTTCAAAATTTTCAAATTACAATATATATACTGAACAAATTTAAATTTCTAATTCATTGTTGCTATGGCAGCAACATCTGGCTCCTCTAAGAGTCCTGAATACTCTTACAATTTACATTAGCTATTCCTAATTACAATAATATTTAATTCTAATTAAATATTTTTGTTCATTTTAAGTTTTCATAAAAACATAAGCGATACACACATGAATAAATTTATCTCAATGTTATATGTTTGTCAATTTGGCTCCCCGATGGGAAATTGCCCTTGGTCTTCATTCTTCTCCACCAACAGAACCAATTTAGAAATGAGTCGATCCAGCTCGGACAAACAGGTCTTCACACGTGCTGAACGAACGAAACCTTTAGAATCCGGATAAACCACGACAACTCTGGCCATCAACCAACAATTTCGAGGCATAAAGATCATCTACGATGAGGACTATTCCTCCAACCTTTACGTTTCTCTTTACATCATTCCACTTCGATCTTGTTTGCAAACCATGAATATATTCTTTGCGCCAACGCGACCAACACAAATTTGCCAAATACTGCACACGTCTCCATCGTTTACGTAGATACGTATCTGCCTTTGGAAGCAACCACGAGGGGGCATAACTACCTTTGCTTTAATTCATGGTAAGAATGTTACTCGGTGTAAGTGGATTTAAATCATTTGGATCGCTGGAGAAAAATGTCAAGGGTCGTTTATGATACATCCGACTTCAACCAACAAGGTCCGAAGAGATTCATCATCCAACATTTTGCCGTGTTCACGCATCAAAGCAGCTAGAATAGAAATAATTTATCGTACTTGTTGTTCCCATACACCTCCCATATGAGATGCAGAAGGGGGGTTTCGTCGCCAAGTGATAAACCAACTGGTGTTATTCTTCACTAGTCTGTTTTGGATTTCGTGATGACTCATTTCTTTCAACGCCAAATTTAATTCTTTCTCTGCACCGGCTAGGTTGGTCCCTTGATCTGATCGTATTTCACGGACTGGTCCTCTTCTCGCAATAAACCTTCTCAGCGCATTTATAAATGAGTCCGTCTCTAGAGACACGGCTGTTTCAATATGAACGACTCTACTTGCCATACACGTAAACACTGCGTCATATCGTTTGATTTCCTTTCTCCATTGTTTGACTACGAAGGGACCGAAATAATCGATGCCACAATAGGTAAAACGTGGTGCAGGTGTAACTCTTTCTTTAGGTAAATCAGCCATCTTTTGCTCATTCACTTTCGCCCGTAGTCGTCTACAATCAACACATCTGCTAATGTAATATCGAACAGCAGAATTACCATTTATGATCCAATACCGATTGCGAATCTCATTCATCGTTAAGCCACGACCTCCGTGAGCAGTATTCCGGTGCACATGTCTAATAATTAAATCAGTAAAATGCCCTCGTCTTGGGACGATAATTGGAAGTCGAATTCCTTCGTCTAGCTCTTCCAATTTTTGCAACATTCCACCTGCTCGCAACAGTCCGTTTTGATCAAGGAATGGATCTAGCCGCGATAATTGACTTGATCGTTTAACTCCTGACTTTCGTGATGTACCGGAATCTCTGTTCTCAGGTTTGAGTCTAAATCTGTCACTGATACGTGCTATATCTTCCTAGAAAGCTTCTCTTTGAATTAGCTCCAGTAGAGTGATTTCTTCTCTTTCTAACTCATCCAGGGAAATTGGTTGTGGTTTACAAACTTCTTCTTCATAACAACTGACTCGGTATGTTCAGGAGCTCGAGGTTTAATTCTTAAAAGCCACGCGATAATCTTCTTCAATCGGTGCCAATCAGAAAAACGTGACAGTTTCGATAATATATCTTCAGGGCAACTCTCTTTAACGACATTGACAAAGCATTTGTCGGGGTCTTCTTGATCAGCATCTTGAGGGATATGGAAAGCAGTTCGGAAACTTCGGCCACTCGCATTTAGGTCTCCACAAGAAACTTGGTCCGTCAATTCATCTTTTTTGCGCAATGAACTGCTTTCCCTTCAGCCCCCGAAAAGCGTCATCAGCCGGATTAACTTGACTTTCAAAGTAATGCCACTGAGTAGGAGTCGAACCTTGTCGGATCATTTGGACACGGTTCGCCACGAAGACTGGAAAACGTTTCGTTTCGTTGTTGATATATTGTAGAACGGTCGAGCTATCGGTCCAAAATACATCTTTATCTGGTAGATACCCTAACTCTTTGACAAGCATGTTCCTCACTCTGACAGAAGTTGTAGCTGCAGTCAGTTCCAAATGTGGAATAGTAACACTTTTTGCCGGAGCGACTCTAGTCTTTCCCATCAGAAAAGAAAGTGCATTTCACTTTGGTCGTTTTCCAAACGCAAATAAGAAACTTGACCATAACCATCTTGACTGGCATCAGAGAAATGATCTAACTGGCGTGATTTCACACAGCCAAGTTATCTGGTTTTACACATCGACGCATCTGAATTTCTTCTAACAACAACAGTTCCCTTCGCCATTTTCCCACTTTGCTCGATAGGCATCGGAAACTGCATCATCTCAGTCCGCTTTATCTTTATAGATATCCTGCAGGATCCTTTTCCCAACGAGCAGGAAGGGAGCAGCCATACCAAGGGGATCGTAAATTGAACTAACTGTAGCTAAAATCCCTCAACGAGTTAACGGTTTATCTTTAAGGACGATCCTGAAACCAAACGCATCTGATTCCACCAGCCAATCTACGCCAAGCACACGTTCGAGGTGTATGTTGTCGTTACACAACTCGAACCGTTTCACTTGTTTCGCTCTCGCAGATTCAGGAATGATGTTCAAGACACGACTACGATTGCAAACGAACTTCGTAAGACGGAAAACGCCTAGTGAACAGACTCGTCGTACACCGTCAATTCGAGTAATCGCTTCATCTTCCGTTCCTTCCGACCGTTAACTTTCGCCCACGTAGAAGTTCTTCCGCAATACGTTACACGTTTCTGCACCGATGTCTTGTTCGCTGTCGTTTTCTGCTTGGTTTAGACCAAAATTTGCACAGCTTGGCGATGACACCGCACCAAAGATATGTACATTCATTTGGTATTCTTTCACATCCTTTGAGAGGCAACCATCAGGTCACCACAGAAATCGGAGAAAGTAGCGTTGATACTCTGGAACCTGAACTTGATAATACATGGATTCTATATCCGCCGTGAAAACCACTGGCGATTGTCGAAACCGGAGTAGGACTCCAACGAGAGAATTCGTCAAATGTGGTCCTTAAATCAACGTGTCGTTCAACGACATCCCACGGTACTTCGCGCTACAGTCAAAAAGGACTTTCAGTTTATTCGGTTTTCTTGGGTGGTACACGCCGTGATGTGGTAAATACCAAATTCATAATATCAATTCTTGAACTTGCATTCTTCAACCATTTTCTTTAGAAACACTTTGTCTTGAATAGAGTGTCCGTATTCATGTATGCAAGGTTTTCGCTGAATTTTAACTCGAACATTTGATGGAGTTCTTGTGGAGTAACGATTTCTTTGACTTTACTCTTGAATACGAGGTGGTGTTAAATTGGTTTTTCAGGCACAATTTCTTCGACGAGAGTTCTATTGCAGCTAACATTAGTTTGAACATCTGAACGAGGCCGGGATCCGACCACGGTCCATCCTGCAAACGTCTTCACTGCAAAGGGCCCGCCATCTTCACTCACAATAAAATCCTTTGGTTCAATTGCTTTGGGAGAGTTAGAGCCAATGAGGATTCCAATTTTGACTTCGGGAAGGTATGAGGATAGCTCGATCTTAGAAAGGTGTTTCCATTTAGCAACCAATTCTTCAGTTGGTATCTCATCTTTAGAAGCTGGAATAGTGTCCTGTGAAAATGTCCTTGGAAGAGTCCCTCGATTATTTCCGTCTATATCCGTTACAGTCAAGCCTGTTACGACCTTAGGTTGATGAACTTGTGAACCATTCATGGTGTTTACCAGCACATTCGTGTCTGTCCCTTCGATTTGAAGCTCGCGACGTACATCTTCAAGTATGAATGTTCCAGTACTACAGCTATCCAACATAGCGTACGTGGTAACTTCTCTTTCGTTCGCAATCAGCTTTACTGGCACAATTGGCATAGTTGTTACTGTACAGTTGATGTATTGTGCAGATGAACTTTCCTGGTAGGTGGTGTGGGCACTATTGAATTTGCCATCATCCGATTTTTTTGCTTTCTATCATCTTCATATTTCTTCTTCTTAATCTTAGAGACAAAATCATGATCATGAAGAGAGGTTGGATGTTTCCCAGGGCATGTTCTACACCTAGTTCTCCGCTGTAAGCATCCATTAGCTATATGGCCAGCATTGAAGAACGCGAAGCACATATTCTTTTCCTTTAACCAGGCTTTTCTGTTCTCCAATGTTCGTTTCACAAGGGACTGGCAATCATCTAGATCGTGCGTTACCTTGCATTATGGACATTGATCATGTGGTAGATGGACATCTTGGAATTCTTCTACCTTCGTTGCACGACTGTTCTACTTATACAAAGGGTCGTCGGGACCATGGCCGGACATTTTTGGGTTCTTGTCTGGCACTTGTATTCTTCCGAGAACGCTACGAGAAAAGACACGATCATTCGCAATCTTGAACAATTGAACAAACATTGAACAAACTTCGTAAAGACTTTCAGGCTAGGAATTCTTGCTCCGTTACCACGAATTCTGATTGCTTCTCGCCGCCATTTATCTTGCAAATAGAAGGGTAACTTGACGATAAGCATTTGTAAATTATGTGGATGATCGAGAATGTTCAAATAGGACAATAACGTCATCGCACTCAAACACTGTTCGAGAAACGTAGCCAAACGATCAACCGCCGCATCATCTCCGGTCTTTTTACTAGGCCATTCTAAAATTTTCTTCAAATACGCATTCGAATCTATGTAAGGGTCACCGTACCTGTCATCAAGCAGTTTCTTTGCTGTCAAATATGGCGCCAATGTCTGCATCCATATACAAGCATCCTTTGATAAGTTCCTTTGGTTCATTGTCCAAATATTATTCCAAATAGCGCAGACGGGTACTCGATGACTATAACCGAGCCTCGATTTGGGATTCTAACGCCCCAACAGATATAACATATTCAATTGGATCTGCAGAAAATTTCGTCAACGTCAGATTTGGGAGCCAACTTTCCTGACAGTGTCTTGTTAACACCGTCATTAACTCGTTTTGTTTCAAAAGCAAGTCCCGATTTCGTATTTCGACCATTCCAACGTTTTTTAGGAGTTTGGACTTGACTTGCATAGACGGTACGAATGGATTAGGTATCACGTTCTGCGGACTAGCATTTCCCGATAGTTCGCGATTTGGGCCATGTTGAATTTTATATGTCGTAGTTGGGTTTGATTCGGGCCGGCGTACTTCAGAGTTCATCACAGATGCTGCACTTTACTTTGATTTGTCCATACCTGCTTCTTTATTAAAGCGAGGCCTTCGATGCTGGATAAAAGACAAACGTTAAAGAACGAATTGGAAAAGATGGAACTCGAGCAAGACTTGGTAGTGGCCCAAGCTAGAGAAAAGGTGTATGCCGACGTAGCTGATGAAGAAGCGTCGACGACAGAGAATTTGGAACTGAACTTGAATCTTGAAGGAAAGACCATACATATCACGGTTAATTTAACTCAAAGTTCGCCTGTCCCTGCTCTTTCTTTAGTTAATTCTGAACGAACAGAACTGTTTGACGCAGTTGAACGTTTCCACGCTGTAGATGACTTACGAGAACCACGCGAAATATTTGACTTCGCTTGAGTTGCTCTTCGATACCTTGTTTCGCTTGAATGATCCACACATTAACTTCGACTTCAAAGTTCGTATACCGTGAAGTAAGATCATCATAACATATGAATACATCAGATTTTTCTTCTCCCCTTTCGAGCAAATCTATCTAGTCATTAAACGATGTCTTCCAATCGACCAGAATTGTGTATTGCAACGCTTTTAAGTCATTTTCAACGATGTAAATATTGTCATAGTTTGACATTAATGACTCGATGTTATGCATATATTTTTCAATTCTCTTCTGCACTGCCTTGCATTTTTCGATCAAAGTTCGATTTGATACGCTAAACCTTTTTGAGTAAATCTTCTTGCCCTCGACTCTGGTTCATTTGCTTCTGCTTGAGCTTCAAGGTCTTGTTCAGTGGAATATTCCGAAGCAAAATCCATGTTGACTGTTGTCTTTGACCATGTTCACCGATCCTTATTATTTGTCTATTTCGCAATGTTAGTACGATCAACGTTTTTAACTTGTGTCCGTGCAATTAAACGATATTAATTAAGGACATGGATACTATAAACAAATACATTCACCATTCCTGGACTTTTTTTAAACGCATTTTTATTTCTATTTTAACCTTTGTTTAAACGGTTAAAAACGTTGTCGAGACTAACTTAAAAATTTTCAACTTACATTATATATATACTGAACAAATTTTAAATTCTAATTAATTGTTGTTTATGGCAGCAACAGGTATATTTTGTCACGTGATCGTCATCAATTTTTCAGATAATTATATAACTGTATACACAGAAGCTCAAAAGTTTTATTCTTCGTAAACAAAAAGTGTACACTGGTACCCAACCTCCAAGATTTCTTTGAAAATTTTTTTATTTCCTTCAGTTTCTATCTATTTTTAAGGAAGAATTAATTTGCACCAGTATCAGAGAATAAATTAATAAATTACTTTAACCGCAAAGACCATTGTCTAATTGTCAATTAAATTACTCTTTAATTTTAAGATGCAGAAGCAGATTCTGAAGATGATAAAGGTTACCTTATTGGTATCATAGTGATGGGCATCATTCTAGCCATTCTACTTCTCCTTGTTGTTTATTTTGTTTATAAAACTCGAGCATTAAAAGCAGCATTGAACAGGAAGGGAACAACTAGCAACAACGGACCAAGCAATGCAACGATGACTGATGGTATTTACGAGCAGCCTGATAATACAACGGGGAAAACAGACAACGAAAACTATGAAGAAGCTATGTATACAGCACTCAATAGAACTGGAAAGGAAGACGAAGATCATTTCTACAGTCATCTGAATGAGATGCAACAAAACGAAACGGGAGTTTAAGATCTTCAAAATGATAAAAACCTGTAGTGGTAAATTTTTACTTGACAACATAACAATAGCAATAGCAACAATAGCGCCACCAGCACCAACACCAACACCAACACCAACAACAACAACAACAACAACAACAACAACAACAACAACAACAACAACAACAACAACAACAACAACAACAACAACAACAACAACGATAACGACGACGACGACGACAACGACAAAAAAGTGAAAGCAGGACCAGAAACAATTGCCGCACAACCATACTGTATTTGCATCATCAATAATTCAAGAAATCAAGTTGGTATAGAATAGTGTTCATCTAGAGACACTGAAATAAATTAAACAACCCAATAACCTTTTAGACTACTTTAAATATATCTCACATTGGTGATAACAGAGACATAGAACTTGTAAGTTATTTAGATTCCTCGCTTTATGTAAGCGAATATAATAGACTGTTTCAGCAAATCGTGACTAAAAGTACACATGACTGACCACGGATGGACCACGAGTGATAAAAAGCCATTTTGAAACTGATTATTATAAAAAGAGAAAAACCTTTTTGTTTTCGTGGTTTTCTCTATCTGCAATAACACTCGGCTTAAAATAGTAACCGTTCTTACGGAATTACTAACTACGAAGGAATAATATCACACGCAACTCGACGCTTTTTCTTACATCACAATAACAACTGATGCCAGTGAAATGTACAGACTTATACGGTGATATTCTTTCGTAGTTAGTAATTCCGTAAGAATGGGCTTTTATTATATAGTAGAGAGTGAGATCCTGAAAAATACACAGTGAGATATATAAATTTTCCATATCTTCACTAGTGAAAATATCGATCATGTGACTTTTTCCATGTGCTTTTGAGCGTGAAATTTCACAATTTTTTGCTTGGGGCTATATAATAAACAGAACATTACACGGTGGCTTGAAGATATGATTTTTATCCTCTCGCGTTAAAAACGCGATATCACCACTCGATGATAAAAGTCATATCTTCGCGCCGCCGTTTAATATCCTCTATATATATATATTTCATGCCGATTTTAAGCACGATTTTACTATCTTATTGTTCAATAGCATATTACCCTGTGGTCTTTTATTGGTTAGATTTTTTATATTTCAAAAATCATGTTTGAGATTTTAACTGGACATGTTACTGTTTCCCACATATGGGAAATATATGGTCTGACTAGCTAGCAAGAGGCCTCGCATAAGAATTTTACTCGTTACCTGCAAAAAGTAGTTAATTACGTTAGAAATTACTTTGGCAGAACAGGTAAGTAATTACCGCAAAAATTACTGGTAATTGGAAACACGTTACTTTTGTAACGAAGTAAGTAAATCGTATCCAGATTATTCCAGTTGTTGATTGCCCTTACACTGAACGTACGGCCCCATCTGCAGTGCTGTAAATAACTTCGTTACAAGTAATGAAATTACAAGTAATGGTTACTTTTTGAGTAACTGTAACGATAACTAGTTACCTTTAAAAATAAGGTAACTGTAACTGTAACGAGTTACATTTTGGCCTAAAATGAAGCGATAACGCGTTACTTTAATAGCCAACGTTTACGTTACCTTTTTCGTTACATTCTTGCGGTTAAAACTTGCAATTCACCTCTCAGTTCTCGATATTCTCCTCACGGTTTTCCACGACAACGCATGCTTCAGTGCTTAACACAGCTGAGAGATCCATTAGTGGTAAGATTAAATAACGTTTAATAATATCCTATATAAGAAAGGTCTATTTAGTCACGTAGTCCCGCGTTTACGAGGCGCCAAATGTATTTTAATTTATTATTTAGATAAATTACGAAGATATTTTGGATGATTTATTTCATTATATCATATAACCAAAATATCTAACAAAAAATATTCCTCAATCCGCTGACCACTAATCATTAAGTTGAAAAAAACTGGGTTTTTTCTTACTTGAAAAGTAACTTGTAACTAGTTACAAAAATATTGAAGTAATTTTGTAACGGTAACTAGTTACATTATTTTAAATGTAACTTTTACCGGTAAATAGTTTCTTTTCAGAGAATGTAACTGTAACTGGAACTGGTTCCAAAAAATAAGTAATTTTTACAGCACTGCCCATCTGAGATCTTATTATAATGAGGCTAGATAAAATTTAAGTTACAGTATTTCGTGTATGAACATCGGAGTTTGTCCTCAATGTTTCAGTATTTTCGTTTGTTATTTTATATGCTATTGATGAAAGCTTCATTATAACAGAGGATCCAGTTCAGTTCATTAAACATTGTCACCATTCTTGTCATGTATTCAGCACCAAAAGTATACGTGCTGCAGGCTTCTGGCGCTCCAAGAAATGGTGCTGTCATCAGCATAGATGTCCATGCATAGTAGATATGGAAATATTCAGAAACATGACCATTTATGATCGAATAACAGAAAAAACTGGTCCAAGCATTGAACCCTGGGGTACGCCCTGCTTTATAGGTGGTTGTTCAGGTTATAGTTTTCCTAATTTGATAAATTGTTTCCAATCCTATTACTTATATATGATTCAATCCAGCTGACAGCTGAAGCGCTAGAACTGTAAACCGACAACTTTCTCAGGAGGAGTTAATGACCTATTGTGTGGAAGGCTTTTTGTCCTAAAAAAGAATGACCTATCCTAAACGTTGATTGCAGTTTATAATATATTAGGTTTTTATCACGTAAAAGCGAGTTTGCGACATGTTTTTCAAGGATTTGTGAAAGAATCTGTAAGACGGATATATTGGACGATAGTTGTTCGTATCATTCCGAATACAAGCTTTATGCAGTCGGGTCACCTGTTCTATCAGTTTAGTTCAGGATGATGTCAACGATTTATAGAAAGATCTGAAGAGCAATTAGATAATTTACCGCATAACTTACGATTAACCCTTCTCGAACAGCATGCGTGGGCGAATGGACGCGATCAGTTCTGTCTATTAGTCGTTCTAGCGAGGGATTTCCTGAAAAACCAGCCACCGATAGTCTCTGTGCAAAAGGGTTACAAGAGGAATTTGACTAACCAAAACAGAACAAATGTAGTCGACTAGCAAGCGAACTTAGTCTTTTGAAACAGGAACCAACAGAAACAATCGAACATTTGCCTATCGCTTTAACAAAAATACTTCATCAACTCGACAAACTCGGTGAGTCGTTAACTAAGCACTTGTCCAAGGTACAGTACATAATTGCTCGCTTTATATCTATCTCCTGTACATCCCCAACTTACCGAACACCTTCGAAGCAGCCGAAGAGCGCAAAGAGTTAGACAAAACTATCGAGGCTGTCCGTCGTAACGAACAGTTTTGAAGATTCATGAAGTCTGACACAGACAACAATTCGTCAAGTTCACTGAGCGATTGGAAACCCTTTTAGGCATTTTCTACACAGCTCACTAAGGGGGGGGGGGCACTCGAAATGTTCCAACAAAAAACCTGTTCAAGCATGCTATCAGTGGTGAACATTGCCATCTTCAACGAAGTTGTCACTGGAATAATTTGGATTCTTGCACTTCACTTGGTGGAATTAATATTAGAATGTTAGGATGTTAAGGTTTCCACAGGACCTTGTGCTGCATTTTTCGCAGTCGTTCCTGGTTAGGTCTTAAAATGTATATATTGTCACTTGAATAAACCTGTCCAGCAACATCCACAACTTCCCACCTAAAACCTGAAATCTGTAGTTCTTCCCACCTAAAACCTGAAATCTAGTGATCAGCTAGTCGATTGCACAAATATCTTGAACGCAACAATTAATGGAGGTGCAAAGCTTTTCGCCGTCAACCTAACCCATCTAACTCAACCTAACCCACCTAACTCCTCACAGTTTTGGAAATCCCATGATCCTGTTAGTCCTGCCCAACCACATGCCACTGAAGGTGCTACTAACCCTCCCAATACCCAACCCGATATGTCATCCAGGTTTGACTCACAAATCTTTGGCTTACCAACAGTTACCAATCCACAGGAGGTGTTGCAAAGTTGACACATCCTGTGGGTCCCAGTTACTTCTGCAGGAGTCAAATTACCGTTGCAAATTGACAAGCAGACATTGTTAATCCTGCAGATATTGTTATTCCTGAAGAATCAGAACTTAGACACGGAAAGTTTCAATAACATATGCCTGTGACTGTTGCGGATGTCATCTCCAAATTATCTTTTATTCCCACCAGGCAAATACCTATACTGTATGGGATGAGGAGGGGGAGAGAATGTATTCTAACCATGCTATAGTCCCACAATTATCTTGGCCCACCCTATTTGGGAAAAACCACCATGATTCCACCAAAGCTCTAATTGATCATGCAGACCCAGCATCGAGTTCCGACACACCAGCATGCAATGCATGATCAAATGTTTTCTTTTAGCCCAAACAAGCATTTTAGAATTTAACTTGAAAAAATGGTTAACAATTTGAATAAATAGTTAACTGTGTATGTTGATGATATTTTATCTTGGTCTAATTCAGGTACATCTGTACATGAATTGCAGAATGAAACCGGCAGGGTATTTCTGTCCTTTTGGCAACACTTCGCAACGTGAAGTGGGCACACTTTACAGGTCTTTCAGGTCGCAGTGTGACCTAATAACCTGACCTAGAGACTCGTTGGGTTAGTAATATCAGCAAGGGCGTCAATCTATCCCAAAAATTGGGGGGGACGGACTCCAAACTAGGAAGGTCCGGAGGTATGCTACCCGAATTTTTTTTTTAAATTTTGGTAAGCGGCATTCCAGCGTTTTGGAAGCACTTATAAAATTTTATTATATAGTAGAGAGTGAGATACTGAAAATACGCCGGGAAATATTTTCCATATCTTCACTAGTGAAGATATCGATCACGTGACTTTTTGCAATTTGCTTTTGAGCGTGAATTTTCACAATCTTTTTTCTTTGGACAATATAAACAGAACATTGCACGGTGGCTTGAAGATATGACTTTTATCTTCTTGTGTTAAAAACAATATTTTACTCACTCGCTGCGCTCGTTCGTAAAATATTGTTTTCACCACTCGAAAATAAAAGTCATATCTTTGCATCGCCGTGTAATATCCTCCATGTATTACAATGTGCATGATCTTAAATCCATTTTTAACCATGTGAGAAAACCGCTAAAAACCAACATGTCCTAGTCTGTGAACAGACGTTACCAGGCCGCTTATATAGAAGCGCTTCGTCGAGAGTAACGTCTGTTCACAGGCTAACATGTCCTCACCCTTATTTTAATGATAATAGTCTATTAAATTAACCATTTGCCTTATTTTGATGATAATCATCTATTTAAGGGAAACTCAGTTAAAACGTAATTATTTTTAAGAGGGTGTCCATGAAAGAACCGTGCAAGTGGTGATAAACGTCAACTCACAGAATTTGCTCAAATTTGGCACATATATAGAGGATATTAAGTATCTGATTTGATAAAAGTTTGAGGTAAAAATACTGTACGGTAACGGAATTATCCACCCCCCCATGATTTTGGGTCGTTTTCGGCTACAAAAATGCCATTTGCTAAGTAATACTTAGTACATTATAAAATTATAAACACACACTCAAATGAAATGATATTTCGGCTGCTAAACTAAAAGACGCCCGGCTTTCATAATATGTAATTGTTTATGCCATCCACTAGGACTGGTTGTCATGGCAACACCAAAAATAAGAGACAATTTTTTCCATTTTTCGTTAAATTAGTTTTTGGACCATTTTGAGAGCAAATATCTCCGCTGAACAACTCGCTTGAAGTATAATTGACACACAGTTATTAAAAGCTATCCATATACACTTGGTTAAACAACAACAAAAATTTGGGGATATTTAATACATTTCTCATGGCCAGGCAACAAATATACCCTATGTTGAACATTTGCATAATGTTAAAAAAAATTCATAACACAAACTGCTTAACTGTAAAGTCCGTATAAAATTACTTATCAGACATGCAAATAATGTCATTAAACAACATTAAATTATCTAACAAAAGAATATAATGAGCAAGTTTCAAAAGCAGGAATAGAAGAAAAATTGAATAATATATTAATTACGTGCACATTAACGGAGGCGAGTAAAAACGATATAAATATAATATTCTTTATAAATGCAATGACTGAAAAATTGATCTATAACATGAAAAATGTATTAAAAATAATACTCACATAGAAGACATGTTCTGATACTTGAAGCAGTGTGAGGGTAGTTTATATACTACCTATTAAAGTCCTAATACTGCAACAGCCGTTTCGATGTATTTTGAAATATATTATATAATTGCTATGTTTACATATCTTTTCCAATGCTTTCCTTTGCTATTAAACCAATACTGATAATTGTGATTGAAATAAAGGAGAAAGGGATATCTCAAAGCAAGCAAAATACTTTTAAAGAGCTGTCATGAACATGTCAAAAAAAGGGCCGCCATCTTGAGAAATATTTTCTCGTTCAGCGGGTTTCCTCAAGATAGTTGGGTATATACTTCGTGTGACGCCTATTCATATCTATCAGGGCTGATACCCGAACCCACCTACCCTGGCCCAGAGGTTTTTTTAGGTTTGGCGAACGCGAAATGCGAGAAAACACGCGAAGAAAAAGGAAAAACCTCTGGTGAATTTGTTAGCGATTCCTGGTTCGGATAAAGAATGCAAAAAATGTATAATGGCTTAATGCATCATATTCTAAAAATATTATCCAATCATTATCCTTGACGCCAGGCCATCTAGACAGGGTTTTATCGCTTGTTTACTGTGCAGTGTATGCCTGCCCATTTGTAGCAATATTCATTCTGCTGAATTTCATTCAATTTAAAACATCACATCTATTCAATTTAATATAAATATATATTTATATTCATTCACTTTAATCTTGCAATATACATTCAATTTAATCCTGCAATATATATTCAAAAACATCTGTATTTTATAAATTTATTAAACACACCTCTTTGGGCCGACGTGAACTTTGTCTATTAATACAAAATCAAGCAAATTTGTCTTGTAGATTTCAAATGAAACCATTCCTCTCCATTTCGCATTTCGAATAATAGACTCGGGATTACAAAATGCGAATGTAAACTCTCCATCTAGTATTGCTTTCTCGTCCTCTTCGTTTGACAGTGAAGTAACACGGCATCCACGCTTTCATAGTTCACGGACGTGAGAGTCGTCAATGAAATAATTCAATTTGCAAATGACTATTAAGATGGGTTTCTCCAGAAAATTGTGGCTTTTGCCAAGTCGTCGTGCTACTCTCGGTGTTAGAACTTTGGAATATTAAACTCTTCCCATAACCGATAGCAAGATGCAAATACATCTTTAATGTGAATCAAATTGGACAAGGCGCGGTATTGATGCTCCGTTAAACTTTTAATTCAGGAAATTTATCAATCTATCTATTAATGCAGCCTATAAAACTGCTTCTTTCAACTTTTGTTCGTTTATTTAATAATATAGACATTTCAAAATTCAAATGTTTCAATTCAATCAAAACACGAAACGCCTGCGAACAGGCTATGATGTTTACAATATCCAATCAGAACACGTAGTTTATCGAACCTATAGTCAGCAGCCAATCAACCCTTTGCTTCCATTTTTGAAAGTTATGTGTGGAATGTGAACCCGAAAACTACGCCAATTTCACCAGAGGGTTATTCAAAACAGGCGAAAATAAATACCCTCTGGTTCCAGGGTAGAACCCACCCTAACCCCGCCTCTAACCTCCAACCCCGCGTTATATAAATATATTAATTACGTGCAACATAATTGTTTTAAGTTCTTTGTATGTTTGCATGGTGATAAAATATAACTGTAGTTTTGTTTGTAATAAATTTACGTGGTGTTTCCACAAACAAAACTATTATAATTGTTTTAATTCTTGATTTTTTTATTCTGTTAATTGGTTCTATGTTCTGAAACTACATCTTAATGAAAGCTAAAAGATGATGTCCACGCCTGTGCACATGCGCGAACTTTGTTTACGTTTTGAACTGCTATATTTGTAAAATATGATATACTAACAGAATATCTAAAACTTTTCTGGTTCGCTTTTCTGGTTCACACTTTTCTGGTTCAAGTTCAAAAAAGTTCGAAAGATGTAAAATTTGGGCAATGTTTATATCTGGGGGTCCCCCTTTGTTAAGAACAGAACTGATGTGCAGAGCGAAGTGGACATTATCTTTAATAACTTAGTCAAAAAATTGGGATAAGAACTTTGTATTACGTATATTCTATTTTAAACTAGTGAATGTCAAGAACCAAAAGTAAATCATGTGATCATCCATTGCAAATACGTTGTTACAATTCCACTTCTTCTCTTACACAATCAAGCAAAGAATATCGTCTTATCTCTTCTTCAATCATTTCGACTTCTTCGTTTTGTTCTTCTTCGTTATCATCAATTAAGATACCTTTTCTTTGTAGGACACTTAGACGGGAGAAGTAGGTTTTCACTTGCTGCACTGATAACCATTCAGACTTATCAAAACCTTTCTTCTTTCCATTTCTAATACATCTTATTCGAGCTGCCACTTCCTTTGAGTCTGCCTTTATTCCACCTTTCTCCCCATCAATGAATGTTCTCAGGAGCAAATCTTTTATTGGCTTTGAATAACGTACCTTACCGGTTGACCTTACCGGTCGCCTGTAGAGTGTTTATTTGTTTCAGTATGAATACCATGCAACCGTAGTACACTTTGATGCACACTTTTGCTTTACGACATCGTACGCGCTTTCCGTCTGCAAACGGTACAAGTGCTTACCAACATCGAGATGCGTTTCAAGTGCGCCGGTAGAAACAAATACTTTGACACAAGAAGCGTCTGGACAATTGAATCTCTTTGATGTATGCTGGGTCTGAACATCATTTTTATCGTGCTTTTCTTGGCACTGCTTCTCAGTTGTTTTCTTCAGCAAACCCTTATCATTTTCTGCGATAGTGAACGCTTCTTGTGATATTAAACCTGTTGCTCCTTGAGTACATGCCATCTGCTTAATATCTGTTTTCTTGATCAACTTTCCTTTGCCAATTTTGTACGCCTTCCACACTTTAATTAATTCCCGGTTCCAGAAATTCAAAGTTGTTGATCAGTGTTATTCCTGTCGACTTGTGCTTTGCGATTTGCTGCTTGGTTCTGTCGATGCTAACCACAAAAGTTCTGTACCCTTTGACGCCACCGTAGGAATCAAGAGCTTTCTTCATATCTGATGCAGTGGTGATGTTGTTCCGTTCATTTAAAAAACGGCGTATGTGGCTTTTCGCGCATGCTATTCGTCTGTCACAGATATCTTTTCCAGATTGTGCATCACTGAAGTTATATCGCCTAATTTCAATCCCAGTTCGTTTGGAAATCCCCGGAATAGAAAGCATTAACGGATCACAGTGATAACATGCTGCATTATCGGATCTAAGAAACGCTTCGGAGATTTCGGGATAACTTTCTTTTAAATTTGACAAGACATTTTCGATAATCCATGCCACTGAGAACCAATCTTGTCGAACAAATGGGAAAATGTTTTGACCTATTCTTACAAAGAAAAATATTTAAACTCTACTTTTCTCGTGTGTCAAACTGATGAAACTTTGTTGCCAACTAAGCTCTGTGCAAATTGAAAACACAAAAACAGGACATACTTATACCTCAAGATCTTCATCTGGTTTCTTGAATATTACGGCACAAACAAGCCATGGACGATCTTTCTTCCCAAACCATTCGGCAAACCATTAGCACTTGATTGGGCTTCATTTCTTCAAGAATAATGTTCTTTGCTGTATTCTGGTGTACACTTCGCAATATGTGTTCTTTCCAAAACTGAATCTTTTGGACTGCGGCATCTAAAGCATGCACTGTCTCCTCTTTGGTTTCTTCACTTTAAAGACAAATCCGTACTTTAACCATGATAATTGTAAGATATGCAAATATTAATTTACAATTCCATGCTTTAAACTATTTCGCCCGTGAAAAATGTTCACGTAAAATGATACTAACCTCATTGTTACATTCTTTGATGATACAGCAGTTCTTATTGCAGACAATGTGTCTTTTGACATGTCACAGCGATCACATGTCATGTTGTGCTTATGAAAGCTTTTCTTCTTGAATTCCAACGTAGAATCCGATAGAGCATATGTGAGACAATGATCTGCACATTGGTTTTCAAGACTGATATGTATCTTGAAATCTGACTTCAGGTAGTGCCTGATTTGATACAGGCTTTCTTGAGTTTCTTTAACCCACGATGCTGTCATACCTTAGGCAAAGAAATAAAATTTGCTGATGTTTCAAGTCTTAAACTTCTTCTGCATCTACCTCTGTTTTCCTACTTCTTTCTTTTGATCGCCTCCCCCCCCCCCTAATTTCTTCATTATTGTATTTTGGTTTCTTTCTTTGATCTTCCTTGTTTCTCTAGCAGTTCCTTCTTGTTTGTGTATCTAATTTTCTGTCTAATGCTTGTCTGTTAATGTTTTTATGCGTTTTTTGTGTATTGGAGTATTTTTATTTTTCTCTATTTTTTTCCCGCTCCCCTTCTCTCATTATGTCTTTTTCATTTCATCTGAATCAAATCACTTTAAAGTAGTTTTCATTTATCGTGTTTTTCCAGCGTAATGACGACTTCTTTTAATGAATCAATTGCAGAGCTTCCTTTAGTTGTAATGCTGTCAAGTCCAGAAAGCAGAACAGGCCTTTTAAAGCTTTGATGCAGCACAGACCTTTTAAAGAGAAAGAAAATTTTTTCCCCAATAATATTCACAGAAAAACAAAAGAAGGCGAGAGAAAAAAGAAACATAAACAATATTTTTGTGTAAATACCTTTAAAATATTGAACAAAGTTAACCTCCCTAAAAATTCAAAATTGTTTTCCTTGCAAGTTGCAATATGAAGGTCTACTGATCGCAAAGGTGTAACTGTTCTTACGACGTTTGGAATTTCCATTGTTATTCCATTCGAGAGTGTTAGAGTCCTGCCGAATGCAACGTCTTGTAGAAAATGTGGTTGAGAGATGAAATCAATAAAATGATCAACTTTTGCTGGATTCAAACGTGTTCGATGTGTTTTAGGTGTCTCTTTCGTCGTTCCTGCTCCATAAAGTGCTGCATGTTTTCTGGCTTCGTCTATTTGCCACGTAGTTATTCCTGGCATCATTTGCTTGAGTTGTGATTTTGAGTAATCTTGAGAAAATATTGAGAGGATTTCCAAACGAGTGGTCCTCGAACTTGTGTCTTGATACAAGGTTACAAGATTCTGGACAACTTCATTCTCGGGAGCAACTATACTTCGTTCACATTTGTCGCTGAAAATGATCTCAAAGATTTCATTAGACTGACCCGGCGCGATGCATTCCAAGGTAGCAATACAAGTTTGTAATGATTTCCTTTTGTAGTATCGAGCGGTACTTTGCGAGACGTCTCTAATTGGGGAACGGAGTTGTGCTCTGATAAGACTCACATCTCGTCCATGAACGCTTCTGATCAAGTTGTTTATAGAAACAAGTTGGTGACCTTTTTGAGGTGTAGGGAAATATTCTGGTCCACATGTGCTGTCAAGGCTGATAACTGAGTCATCGTTAGACTGCAAATTTTCTTCAAAATGGACTTTACCTGTGTTCACAATCGTTGTCGTTGTTACACTTGCCGAAGAACGCTGACAAAATATACCAAATTGAAACTTAAAATGACATTGATTCCGAAATTGCATACTGTATACAGAGCCGTCAGAGCATGCATATGAGTTAATGGATAAACCAACTGTTCTTTTGATCGATCATAATTCACTAATAAATTTCTAAATATATAAATGAAACCTTTTTGTACTTTTCCACATCCATAGTCATTGTGTTTGCTGAATAAGATTCTTCACATTTTTCTTCTTTAAATGCCTGAATAAGAAAATAACCACAAGTTCGTTTCCTTTTAATAGTAAAACTATTGGTAATGCTTTAAGCTTGAATTTGGTAGTGGCTGTGGTCGTAGATCCCTACTGCAGCTTGCTTGGCGGCGCATCATCACTTACTCCCCCCCTGAAAATCCGTCTATGACTATGGACCCAGGTCCAGTCTTGAATATGAATGTTACTTTGTAAAAGTAATAAACTTACGTATTTGTTTATTCCAAACACGTTACCTCCTCGTCTGTATCCAGTGTTGATCCTTCGACCTTCTTATTACCTTCCTCTTAATGCTTTTCTCTGCATAGTCTACATATACCTATTATGTGAATGCATAAAATCTTATGGTGTTTATTATTAATCATAATTATTTAATCACGAATATCATTATAAAAGCTATATTCCTAAACTGTTGAAAATATATCCTTTATATCACAAAATATCAGTTAGTAAGAGTGCTGGTGTTAGTAAGTTAGATGTCGAGCACTTGTTGCTATTAGTATACTACTAGAAGTTCACAGAGAGATAATTATGTTGTTTCAGACAAAATAGCATACGGCACGTAGTAGTTGGAATCTCTACCACTAGAGCACCGAACCCAAGGACTGCTGTGAGCGTAACCGAAATAAACACTATTTATATTTTTCTTTAAAGGACATTGGCAATAAAAAATTAGTTTAATTCATTTGAAAGAACTCATAAAACTATATATTAAACTCTATTACAGATTGTTTATATCTTGCTTAGTTTTCAAAATATTTCGACTGAAAAAAGTGAGCTGTTCGCCATCTTGGATTATTGACGATATGCATGTTACTTCAAGAAAGGGGTCACGCTAATTTTTTATATTGAGAGTAAGCGATCAATATGGGTCCAAAACTTCGTTTCTGGTTGCTGTCAGAAATTTAGAAATGATTAAAAACATTTCAAACAATTTTGGATTGTTATTCGGTCATTTTCGAGTAGTTTTATATGGTTAACACAACTCCTGACGTCATTAAAACCATAGTTAATGAAGTAAAGAATTTTTCCAAGATGACGGAAAGCTTATTAATTTCGGTCTAAATATTTCGAGAAATAAGCAAGATATGACAAATCGGTAATAGAGTTTAATATATAATTTTAAGACTTCTTTTGAATGAGACATACAAATTTTTATTGCCAATGTCCTTTAATCTATCTTTCTTTTCGTACTTCGCATGCCCTAACAATCATGTAATTATAACCAGGTTGTATGCTCTCACTTCCTCATGAGTTATGGCGTTCAAGCTGCACCATCCTAGACTTAGTGAGAACTATCAACAATTATGTCTCAATCAATTCCATGGTTGCTCCCCCCCCGGGCGTTTGTCGGGCGTTTTCAACTGTACTTGTTCCCAGGGTCGGGTATTTGCTTTCTGCAGGTTAGCCCCGGGGTGGGGAATTTCCTCGAGGCTAAAAAGTCGAATATTTATCACTTGGTTCGCCATTGAGCTGTACTTTAGTACGCATGTTTACACGTGCGTGCGTATTGCAAATTAATCATAGCGGACATACACAAGACTTTTTTCTTGTCCATCCTGTTGATACATTGACTTACTTCCACAGTTTGATATTGCTATATAAAATTTTGAGATTTCAATATTTTAATTAAAAACGTTTTGGAACTATCAATGGTAACAGAATCAATTTTCAATACAGATATATTGATACGTGATAGAGCTTGCATTCGATTTTTTTGATCAGAAATCCTCAGAAAACTTATATTTTGTCCCCCAAGAGTTGGGCATTTGCGTCAATGTAAGTCCCCAAGGGTGGGGATTTTGTTGCATTATTTGGAACCCATAGTGGAGCATTTGGAACGTTTTTTTTCTCCAAAATGACAAATGCCCGACAAACGCCCGGGGAGGAGTTGGGCACCCATGGAATTGATTGAGTCATTATTTAAATGCAATTATATGCCGCAACAATTAATAATTATAATTTATATTTACGACAAATTGAAAAGATCACTTACCAAAACCAACCGAAACAAACCTTTGCCAAATGTCACTGATTTCCATTGACATTTTCTTTGTAACACCTCTCGTTTTGCCTTTGAGGATCCGGATTATAACTTTATGTGTACTAAATATTACTTAGCAAATGGCATGTTTGGAGCCGAAAACGACCCAAAATGGGGGGGGGGGGATAATTCCGTTATCGTTCATTATTTTTATCTCAAACTTTTATCAGATTAGATACTTAATATCCTCTATATTTGTGCCAAATTTGAGCAAATTCTGTCAGTTGACAATTTAATTATCACCACTTGCAGGGTTCTGCATGGTTCTTACATGGACACACTCTTAAGTATTTACAATTTTACATAACATATGCGATGTCAGTATTTGCTAGCTCCCGGCGGCTACAGAAAGTTCAAACGTTGTACTTCTTTTTATTAAATGTCTTCCTTTCAATCCCAATTTTAAATTTGATGAATAGCAACCCCATAGCATGTATTAGGTATTTAGGTAACAAAGAAACAAAATTTCATTAAACATGTCAAAAAGTGGGGGGGGGGGATAATTAGATATTCGTCCCCCCACTCCAAAAATTGGGGGGACGCGTCCCCCCCCCATCCCCCCAGGATTGACGCCCATGAATTCCAGTTGAGTTACCATACCTTGTTCACCAGTTCAGCTAGAATTCAACATCGACGAGCTGACTGACCTGAACGGGGTTCGCTTGTTCCCCTGTTATTTGGAGGTTCACCTGTTCCTCTATAAAAAACCTACAGTTTTTGCATGCTCAGTGAGGGTTCAACTACTCATACTGTCTCAGTATACCAATGGCTGTCTCTAGACCATCAGGACTCATTTGTCGCTGGACAATATGTCACTCCCTCTGCAATCTAGAGGTCCGCCTGTTCCTCTAGGTAAAAGGTAGGTTAGCGAGAGCCTCTAGACCGTACGAGCACTTCCTTGCCATAATATATGCAAAAAAACACACATGTTTTTGTTTTCTGTTGTTGTTTTTTTCAAACTGCGGTTTGGATGCCAGTTATCTCAACATATTAAACTTTATTAATGCTGGCCTAGATTATCTTTACTGCAGTCTTTTACAGAAGATAGCGCTGAATTTAAAACAAAGCACCATTATCCATTTCCTGAAGATCAAATCGCACCAGTATCACCTCGCCTTCTAAAATTGATATTGACATATACTCTAAGTACCGGTCACTATTACTTATACATTGTCACTAAGTACCGGTCAGTATTACTTATACCAGGACAAAAACTCAATGCAATAAAATATTTCGAATACCATCTCAATACAGGTGATGCCTTACGTGTATATAAACACCCCTATCAGAAACGTCCAACCGAGTTCTTAGCATGAATGACATTGAACGCATGCTCAAGCCTGAAATTATTCAATCCAGTAAGTCTGAATGGGGCGCACCTTGTAAATAAGTTCGGTGCCTGTGGTTTTTCTTTGAATGTTTTGTTTTTATTATGCTGTATTGTGTTGCTGACGCTGTTTGTGTCTTCGATACTTGTAAAGCTATATTTCGAGCATTAGTTTTACATTTCATCTTATCTCGGCCTTTTCCTGAACAAAATCGATAAAAAATAAATCGGTAAAAGAGGTTAATATATATAGTTTTAAAAGTTCTTCCAAATGATAAAATAAATATTTATATTGCCATTATCCTTTAATGACTTTCTCAATAAACCAATGTTTTTCAATAATATATTCGCAAATTTTATTTGGAGATTGCCAAGAGGAATTTGACACCATCTGAAACAAAAATACAATTAAAGCAGCCGCAGTTTTATATAAAAAAAATTTTCAACTGATTTCTGCTTTTGTTAGTCAAAAAAAGATATAAAATGAATCGCGCATACTTGCCGGAAGTCCGTGTTGTTTATCTATTTATATACAGTATATTTGGTTTTCAGATTTGTTGTATTTGATTAAATAACTAAATATACCTCGTCAGTTTCTACAAATACTTTCCAAAACTCTTTTTATATCTTTAAAAAACTCATTAATAATTCATGAGGGAAATACAAAAGAATTCATGGCCGTGTCTTTCATTTTCTCGACTTATTTAGACTTAGACGACTAAACGTTTATCTTTAAATTTACTTCGCCGATGAACGCATTAGACAGGTCGTTTTTAGAGCTGCGCTCTTGTGTTTTATATCTGATAAAGCGCTCCTGCTCGAGTTTTAAATAGTATTCATAAAAGGTGCTGTAGAATCGTGTCACTATCCAAACGATAAATTTTTACAATTGACATTTTGAAAACGTTTTGGACTTATTTTAACGATCACATAGCCATCCAGCCGCGTACCCAACCTGACTCCAGGGTTCAAATTCAGGTAAATAAATTTATGTATTTAACTGTATTTTACTCTTTCATAAGGTAAATTTTGTTTATTTGGCCTGCTGTTTTAAAACAATTTAAGAGAAATTAAACACACATGCAAATGTACGACTGGACTACTATGGTTAACTAAATATGACTGTCCTCGCCGCCGGTCCCTATCTCCATATTTTTCTGTTAATCAAATCCGTATGTACTACAATAACAACTCCATACATTGTCAAATAAAAGCATGAAGTGTATATAATTAGTTAGAGATTATTTGTTATATAATTACATATGTGTCTAGATAATATCAGCTGCTGCTTTTCGTGTAAGATCGTTTCTAAAACTACACCCGAGTAACAGACAAGTAACAGACGAGTAACAGACGAGTACAGACGAGTAATAGACGAGTACAGACGAGTAACAGACGAGTACGGACGAGTAACAGACGAGTAACAGACGAGTACAGACGAGTAATAGACGAGTACAGACGAGTAACAGGCGAGTACGGATGAGTAATAGACAACTACAAACGACTACAGATCGACGAGTATATTTTCTAAATACGACTAATTAACAGCATTTTGATGGTATGTTTTAATAAATGATGCAATATTTTTCAAAATTCCGATTGGCGGCAGCACTATGTGAGA